CGCGCCGCAGCCTGCCCCGTGCAGCAGCCGGCTCAGCAGCACCCCCACAGCATTGCCTGGGCCTGCGAGAGCCAGTCTCGCTCCCAATCACATCCAATCAATGAAATGAATTTTATCTGTATATTTTAAGGCCAGAGGAACTGCTGGATTATCTGGCCTGATCTCTGTGCATGACACAGGCCTGTCAATACCATCCAGTTACCCGTTCTGAGCTGAAGCTCCTGCAGTGTCGTCTCCGAGAACGGCCTCCAGAACAGATTTGGAGGCCACGACATGGAGAATCCACCACTTTCCTCGAAATTCGTTCCAGATTAATCAGTTTAATAGTAACTAAGCTAATAACATTAACAAGAGAAGCACCAGCTCTCTCCAAGACCAGGTCTACTGGGGTTATTCCTTTGCGGGTTAGCTGTGCTCTAAAAATAAACGCCCCAATGGTCATGAGAAGGGCTGTTATCACTCTGGGAAGCCAGACAACGAGCTGAACATCCAAACTGCGCAGAAGGGCTCTTGCTCGGCTCTGTCGGCTTCTTTTATCCCTGTTCGCCTGGGCTCTCTGCCGGCCACCAACAGTAACGTAGAGAACAAGACCACACAAAACATTACACAGAGAGAGGGGCCAGAGAACTAAGAAACCCAGGATTATAACGTAGATTATCAATTACTGCTAGTCTGCTCTTTCTAAAGTTGTTTCACACGGGGTCTGTTACCAGCAGGTACCTGCTGGCTCTGGTCTACCCTGGGGCCAGAAACACAATCAGGACGGCTGTCACTGCCCTGCTACTTTTACAAGTGTCAGCAGACACTTCAGAGTACTTGTCGCAAGGCATCCACTGAACAGTACGAATTCAGCAGCCAGTGCTTCTCAAACATTAATCAGCTTGCCACTAGGACATTTGGGTGGACAGAAAGCAACTATTGCAGTGGCACCGTCCCCCTGCAAACAGGCTAATTCCACCTCGGCAGTGCAGCCCTCCCCAGGGCTCCTGCTCAGCCGTCCTGAAACAGGCTGCTCTTGAGCGCTGCAAGGTGCCAGCAGGGAAACGGAGGCAGAGAAACCCTGAGAAGCCCACGGCCACGGGAGGAGGGGCGAGATGATTTTAGGCCTTTTGGGGACTCTATCTAAGTAGCTCGCTAGCTGCCTATGTTGCAGGGCAGACGGGCTCCCTGGTATCCTGCCTGCCCTTCAGAAGATCTCTCTCATCACGCAACGGTTCCCTTCTTCCTGTGCGTCTGAAGAAAGAAACCGGAGCGTACAATCGACGGAGCACAACCAGGTCCTGGTGACAGGACAAAGGTGAGTTGCAGGGTGTGCAACAGAGCGAGCATGTCCTGCTGCCTAAGAAGGTCTTTCCAAACTGTGCAGGTGTGAAAAACCTCTGCTGGGAGGAGTCTGTGGCAGGGGCTGGCGATACAGAGGCTTAGGGTCCGAGAGATAGGATCAGCGCTGCTCATGGCACTGACTGCACTGCAAGCTGGAGAGGCACCAAGGCCTTGCAGATGTACCTGTGCTCACTCCAGGAACCGCACGGCTCCATCAGGTGGGGCACTAGGTCCAGCCTAACGTACCCTGCCAGCCTTTCTCCTTCGCCAGGCTTCAACGCCCTGGTAGCAACGCCATCAAATGCTAGCTCAACGGGAGTCTACCACATGTAATGCTCAACAAAGCAGGTCGCAGCACAGCCATAGCACACTTACCATAGGCAAAAATCAGGTCCATCAAAACGTTGAGGCTGAGCTCGGAGTGCTTCTGAATCAGGTGGTACGACAAGGCCCGGAGCAGCGGCACAGAGCGCCGGTTCTGGTATGCTAAAGCCAGTGTTATTTTCCGGATATCATCAGGGTTGAATTGTTCAGCAAGCTCCAGAGCCTGCCAATAAATGTTTTGAACAGAGATGTGAAGGGAAAGCACAAAGCAAGGAACAGAGATAGCCTTTATATGGAGCGCGATGCATCATCCCCAAATACGTGACTAGCTGGGCCCTTCCAAGAACACGTCGACTTGACCGGACCTGGCCAGTGTTTAGCTCACAGTAAGGCTAAAGAGCTGGGAGAGGAGAGTAACAGCTCATGCCAAGGGAGATTGAAGAGAAGCAGAACTACGTTCATGTCAACAAGATTGTCCAGGATCTCACCGTTGCCGGTTCTGCCATTCTCCGGCCGGCAGGACCTCAGTTTCCATTTCAGCTAAACTCCAGCACCCGCCCCTGCCCTGACTCTGTGCTCTGTGCCGCAGCCCGGTCTCCAGGCGCTATAATACGTGCCAAGCAAAGACTGACAGAGGAATGGCATCCGCTGCTGGGTCATTCTCTCGCTTTCCACTGTAACTTCTGTTTCATTTGCGGGACACTGTCCAACATCTTTCGTTTGGGATCCGCGTGAGGCTGACAGCCCAGCTAGATCGAGCTACAGCGTTCCGCCCTGTCTCACACTAATGTCTGTAGCATTTATTTATCCCCAGGGTCGAGGGTGAGAGACAGTGGGGCCCATGAGCTACAGGTGTTGCTGTGGCAGCTGTTTGGCCAGTCCCCAGCACAGGCCAGATGAGGACTGAATTTGACGCAGCTGCAATCAAGCTGTCACAAGGTCCCTGTAGCGGTTCCTTCCCAAAGGACATTTCCCTCATCCTGGGAGTGAAAGAAACAGGGACCCCACTGAGCACTGGCACGGTGAAGAGGACAGATCTTCCCCAGTCTTTAAAGGTGGCTGAAAGAAGGTGTCCAGAGGCAGCCTGAAAGCAAGGATGGTTTTAACTCTCTGTTCTAGCTCCCATCACAGCCTAACTTTTGCAGTGAAGCAAAGGACAAAATTTTGGGCAGTTGCCTGATGCTGGCTCCGTAAGTTACTGCTCGTCATCTGAGCCAAGGTAACTCTTGTGCGTCCCCTGCTAGCGGGCCGCAGCAGGAAAACAAAATGCATCAGCTCAGACTAGTGTGAGTCATCCCCTCGCACCAGCACACCCTGGGAGGTGCCAGCGTGTGCGAGCTCCCTTGCCTACACGGCTCCTCAGCGCAAACTCTTCCTAAAGCACCTATGCAGAGGAAGCTGCTTAAACAGGAGCCCGTAAGCACATACCAAAGCAGTTTGGCTTAGCAATGAACTTGGCTGGTGAGGAATGAGCCTTGTCTATAAGACTGTGTGAAGGAGACAGGCTGGTTAAACAGCTTCTGAAAGGGGGTCTCCCTTATGTATATATATAATTTTTTATCACCTGCAGGAAACAGCCCAGCTGAAAGAAACGGAGCTGGGAAGGGAGAGCCCGACCCGCTACCTTGTCCTCCAGCCGGTCCATCAGAGCTGGCGAGATGTGCCCGATCTTGGACATCAGTACCACCACGGTTTTGGTGCCCTCGAGCTCTGTCCAACGCAGCTCCAGCTTCTTGATGACCTCGTTCAGCAGCTTGCTCTCCTTCCCCTGCCTGAGCGCCAGGAACTCCGCCAGGGAGGCGAGCTGCCTGAAGCTGAGGCGCCTCAGCCGCCAGAGCACCTCGTGCTCCACCGACTGCATCTCCCTCCTGCTGCTGTCCATCCCCAGGGAGTACAGGCTCTTTAAGAGGTTCACCAGGGTGTTATTCCACACCTGAGAAATCTGGGCAGCAAAGAGAAATACGGGAAAGACGTCAGTCAGACAGAGCATGAGAGTTACAGCGAGCTTGTACTCAAGTGCACCAACCACCCAGTTGTCAGCCACGAGAAAACACCAGGCAACGCTCAACCTCCGCAGAGAGGCAAGAGAACTGGCCAGTGCTGAACGGGAGGGCGAGTCCTTCTTGGCCACGGGACAGCTCTCTCTCTCCCACCACGACACAAGACCCCTGCCTATCATTGCAGGCGTAAACCGTGCAGTCAGGTACCGCAGCCACAAACCGGAGCGACCTAGTGCTCTGGTGTGGGAGGTGAGCCGCGTGCCTTTATCGCAAACGGAGGCCGTGTGCCCAAATACCGTAAAGATCACAGCCCTACCCAGGCCTGTAGGCAGCGTGACTAAGTCTTGACAGCGAATTACACAGCATTTATGCAGAGAGCTGCCATATACACCGTAAACTCGCTCTGTCCTGAAGGAAGCTATGCAGATTTGTTAGTGGCTGGGTAAAACGTTTAAGTAGACTTTACCCTCCTCTGGAGGGGTATACACCTAAACATTTCCATGGTGTGGCTAGGATACGGCACCAGTGACTAGTGAAACAAGGAGCAGTGAGAAAGAAGGAAAGTCC